TAGCCTAAAAACATTGCTGGTTGACGATAAAACAACTACACGTTTCACAATACTCCATAAATTGATGTGCAGTCTAGACTCTTCCCTGCGCTCCACCAGGTGGTGGCATGTTCGTCATGGGAGGCTGGTACGCCGCGCCGGGTCCACCTGACAGGAGGAGCGATCTGGCTAGATTCATGAAATTAGCCTTCTGATTTGGAAAGACTTCTGTTAAGCTCCTTCATTCAAGAACTGCACCTTGGAAGGGCGAAGTTCTGGCTTGTGTTGTCGCACCACCTGCGCAGAGAATTTGACACTTCGGATGGCACTATCTAGACTTACCACGTACAGCATGCTTGCTGTTATCCTTTCGTCTTGATCAACAATTTGCTTGTTTTGCAAGTGTCGCATCTAAATTCTTGAGTGAGCACTGTCTCTTGATTCCCTGCAGCAGTACGAATTTGCTTGCTGCCACGACACCTACCTGCACTCTCTGTGTACGCGACAAATGGGCACAAGCAAATTTGCATGAAAAACAGCCACCACTTTCAAAAGCAAACGCTTATGAGCAAAACAACCATTTCAAACCAAAACAGCCTTTTAACCTGTTGAGGGCACGTGCGCCAGAGGCAAAATGGCCAAATGCTTCAGTGTTCCAGCTGTGTAGCGGATTTTAACAAGAGGTTCTGTTCCTGATGCCATGACAATGGGAGGCGACAGGTCAGGGCTTTCAGCTGTTTCTGCGAGACAAGAAATGAGTTCCGTCAATTTCCGCCTTTTTCCGCCTAATTCCGCCTTTTATCCGGCCATTTCCGCGTCTTCAGGCGTTCATGGCTTGACTTCAGGTTTCCGTGTTGCTTGACGTTGGAAATTCAGGGTTCCAGCGTGTGGCTTCAGGGTTTCCTTGTCTCTAAATTTCTAAATTCATGAACATGCAGAAAATCATGCCCGCACATGTTCTCGAGCTGTATACCTTCACAAGTCTTGTTTTGGCCTTTTTCAGCAGCCTGAACCGAATTCCGCCTCACGGGCTGTTTTTGGTCCGCTTCTTGAAAAAAGACGTTTTTTTTAATGAATTGCCTGTTTTTTTACGTCATTTGGAGGCTCCAGGTACAGACTGTAACAGACCGAGCTGATGTGCTTGGGGATCCAAACTGCTTGCGATGCTTGCGTCTCAGCTAAAATGCCTCCAAGCAGGTGCCCTCAACTACTTGTAACATGCCTCCTGTCACCCCGCTAGAGAGACCGTGGCTACAGGGGATTGCTACAGGTTGTGCAATGGTAAGAAGAGTGGATGCGGGGATGTAGAGGGCCTGTGGTCAGAGGTTGGGTGCGCAAGCGTCCTTCATTGTGTCGGATTCAAAGCAGGCTTGAGCTACCTGCGGCCCTGCGACGAGTGCCATCAAAGCAGCTCTTGAGTTATGTAGACCAGAATTTCTGGGGCATAGAAGGAAAATGAGAGAGGAGACCTGCTAACGGCAAAGCTTCAAAGCAGTCAGCACGAGCATTTGCTTTGCTTGGACAGTGATAGCGGCCTTGCACACCTCCGTAGCCCATCTGCATCTGCGGCTGCGGGGGCTGCATTTGCATTTGCGTCTGATGTGGAATCTGCATGTGCATCTGCGGTTGCTGCTGCTGAAAAGCCATGTGGCCATGGGTTCCTGGCTGCGCTGGCATCTGCGGGACAGAGCCCTGCATGGAGGTGGTGGCGACATTGGGCTGAAATGTGGGCACTGCAGGTAGTGTTCGAGCTTGCTGGGTCCCGCAGGGTGCTGTCTGTGGCGCTTGCGCGGGTTGAAATTGCAGAGTCCCCGGACCTCACTGAGCTGGTGAAATCAGCACTCCAAGCTTACATGAACGTACATGATGCGTTGTCTGAGCCCATCGCCTGGAGCATACCTCGGCTTGAAGATGGAAAACATCGCAGCAAAATTCTGCCTAAGTCTGCAGGCCTGCTTGCCTCATTTGTTGCTCCGTGGACCTGCCGGCTATGCTTTGCTTTGCAAGCTTCAAAAAACAAGAAAGCTGTCCAACCTGGTGCGAAGCCACACGGCTCGCCTGTCCAGCCTGTCCTTGCGCAGCGGCGCAGTTTATGGTTTCCAAGCAGAGAACAGAGATGTACAGAGATGTACAGAGCTCATGGACACATCAAGCACCCCCAGGATCCCCCCAGGCCAGCCTGCATTCCCTCCCTTGACCAGCTTCCCCAGCACGCTCAAGTGCACGTGCGCAACCTGCGTGTGGCTGCGCTCGCCTCTGAAAACAGATTGACATTGCCCGCGAATGCTAGACCTCAATGGTGTGATACGCAATCTCATTGGCAGACTCGACTTTGACAATGCGGTGGGCCGTGATGCCCTCCTGTCGCGAGCATCACGCCACACCGGCAGCAAGATTTGGCAACAAACAGATTGTGAAGATTTGTGAATGCATGTGAATGCTGAACGGCGAGGCTGCCGTGAAGCGGCCTGGCCTGCTGGTCCCACTGTCTAAGCTGGCCAAAGACACCTTGCAGACATTGGGCTGCTCCCGTTGATCAAGGGATGCAAAGCACGACCCCAGTGCAACAATCTTGTTGAGTTTTGGTCTCGCATCCTGTCCCTCAAACCATCAAGGCGAAACCATAGCGGTAGCTGATAACAAATACCTACAGTGACATGCCCGTCAGGATTACATAGTCCGGGGTTTAGGGGCCGCTGCGCGGACAACATCTACAAAAGCGAGGTTGACTTTACACCACCATCACCACCGCCGCCGCCGCCCTGCTACCGCGCCATGCATCTGCTGATGCTGCTGCTGCTGCTGCTGCTGCTGCTGCTGCTGGCGGTTGCACTTGCAAATTGCTGCAGCCTGCCCCCTGCTTGGCCCCTGCTCGTTGCACAATTCAGTGCCAGGTCACGAATGTAGTCGCCCTCCTGGAATTCTGGGCCAGATGCCTTGGCCCCCTAAGTTAGCCTTGTAAAAGAAAATTGCATGCACACTGACTCCAAGAATAAAAGTTTGAACTTCTGTCAAGTCTCGGAATCGCTGTCGGAATACATGTTGCACCCGATTCTGCCTGTACCATCCTTGCAGGACATGATGGTGCAACAAGATTAAAGGGTTCCAAAAAGCATGGTTTTCTTGGCAGGCGCCATGAATGGCTCCTGTATGATTTCCAGCTCTCAGCACCGGGCATTAAGGGTAAGACTGATGTTGTACGTTTGATTCTGAATGGAATCCACCTGCAAGATGCAAACTTGGGCAGCGCCTCCGCACAAGGCAGTAGTAAGGACAGCGCGCAAGCTACCACTGTCAGCATCTGCAGCTCCTTTCCACCGTTTACGCCTTCAGACTCGAGTTGCGAGAGCATTGGTGATCATTGGTGTGGTCAGACTGTGTCTTGCACGGAAAGGCGCATCCGGACCGATCTGTCCGGCAGAGCGTACCTTTCAGACTGCATTCTCTCATTACAAATTTGTCTGAGCTGGTAGTGCCCAAGACCCCAGCAGCTTCCAGCAGCATGCGGATAGTGACTGGTGTCAACGTTTGCGCCTCACCCAGACAGTATGGAGGGGTGTCGGCACGGCAAGTACTACTGCATTGATCACGCGCATTGCTTGAGCTGGGCACAGCTGTTTTTCCTGCGCCTCACCAGACGCATACGCAAAACGGCCACGAATACTTGTGCTGCTTGAACTCAGTTGGATTCTTTGAACGTCCTGCGCCGTCCGGCTGCTCTGGCCGAGCGGATGCCACCTTAAGCAAACTCTGAAAGTGGGATTCTGATACTTTCTGGACCCCTGGCTTTCGGAGCCCGGCTTCACCAGGTATGAAGCCACCAAAGCCCTGCGCGCTCGAGCTGGCCCCTTTAAGTGACGTTGCTCTGTTTTTTTGTCTGCCGGTCCTGTGATGCTGGTACTCCGCCGCCATGCCTGCCCTGCCACACAAGCAGTCTTGTCTTGCTCTTGCCGTGTAAGAACAAAAACAAAAACTAGCCTCAGCTGCATCAACTCCATATCCTCCACCATTACCATAGCCGCCTATGGCCACATGTTCAAGACAGCCTTGCATATGTCGCGAACATTCCCGCCTGCCGGGGGGGGAGCGCCAAACATGCTCTCAGCCTGCACAGTGACTTTGCTCTACCATCTCGATGCTGTATTTCATATATGAAGATGGGTAAATGCCAGTACATCAAGAAGGATTGCTGAGTTTCCAACCTGCTTGATGCGTGGCACAGTCGAGGCCGCGTCAACCAAGTCTTTAACGCAATGTTCAGAGGCATGCCTGCCTGCAGACCTAGAGGCGTATGTCCTTGTCTTGCTGATGAAGGCGCTGCGTGAAGCATGGCGCAATGCTCCAACGGTCTTGCTAAGTTTGCTTCCTTGCTCTCATGAACTGCTTTGAATACAGCCTTGAATCAAACAGCCAAGAAGGGACACGCGGCTGTCGTGCAGAAAGCAAAAACCATCCAACAAATGGCGCGAGGTTTGCCAATGAAACGGTCCTCCACACGTCGTTGATGGACCCCGGCCTGGCAAGAGGCTCTCAAAACATGGCCTCGGCCTACACTGCGGCCTTCAGCCATTCCGGCACGTTTTTCCGCAGCGACTCCAGGATTTGGAGACATTGCCTACAGAATGAGTTGGCACTGGCCTGAGACAGAGCAGCCATGTAGCACTCTGCAGGCACGGTATGCCACGCATTAGCCACCTCTACATGCTGGAGCATTCCTCCTGGACAACTTGCATTAGATCAACTTTCTTTCATCCATCTCAGGAACGCTATGGTGTCACGGTGGAATGCCCAACAGCTGTGCAATGCACATGGATTGCTCTCCCGCAAACATAGACACGCGTCCACATCTAACACCAAGCATGGTCTTACCTTTGGCCCTAGTCGCTTTTTTGACAAGGACAGCTGTCCCTCCCATCCACTCACTCCTACGGCCCCTGGAGTGAAACCCCTCAGAAACAGACTCGAAAGCCTCTGCAGCTCAATGGGAGAATGCATTTTGCAACTGCTTGCACCAAGGCCTGTTAGCTACCCGCTGGTTCAAGTGACTCTCGCCTCAGCCAGGAGCAGTCTCTAAGAACTTTGCTCTTAAGCTGCCTTGACGTCAACATAGAGTCCGGGTGCCTGCGGCGTCAAAAGCAACATGCTGCTAGCATTGACAGAGCCGCGAGAAGCCATCTGAAGTCCAACGACCCGTTTCACGGTGGATGGTTTACTATGGGCAGGATGCGGGGGACTTTGCTGCCAACGCCACTTACAACTTTTGGTCGACCTGCACCCCCATCTCTCTGATGGATTGGCGGCCTGAACCGATACAGGGGCTCAATAAGTTCCACAAGCCTTATTCCTGCCTTGTTTCTACATGGAAAGAGGAACCTACCGCACAACCCTGTGCTTGTGTTCCCCCATCCGTGACCACGAACTCATCACCACACATGGCGAGTGCAGTCAGCAATGTGACGCCTTTCATGGTTGCCAGCAAAATCCATCAAGATCCATCAAGCGAATGTTCTATGGTGTGCAAGAGGGGCTCGCCTGTGTCAACATTTGCAACAGCAACGCGAACCATGCTGCATGGCATGGCAGGAGAGGATGCACACCCTCACACACACACACACACACACACACACCCACACACACACACACACACGCACAGAGACCATCAGAGACCAGGGTAAAAGGGAGCGCAATTGTAGCAGATCTGTGGCACAGCTTGTCGCACACACGTCTCCAGAACGTCCTCAAGACACGTGTGGGAATTTCGGAACAGCCCGATTATGAACCCTGGGAGCAGCCGTTTGCAGGGAAAGAAATGGGAGGGCCGGCGACTGGAAGCATTTTCGAATATCCCTGCTTGAAAGAGAAAGAGCCCACGTCAGCCCAGGTAACTGTGGCCATGTCCCCAGTGCCCATGCTACCGCATGGTGCCATCAATTTCCTCGGTCACGCGCGTAACATGGGCGCATTCCACCGAATGAGGTCAGGCGCAGCCAGAGTCTGTTGCCTGACATTGACATTTTGTTCGATCCGGTCTTGCGAGAAACCTGCTAGCGTGATGACAGGATTTGACTGATTTGACGTTGCACGCGTTCTGGCAGCAGAAATGCTGGGCCTGCTTACAGTTCATTACAATTTCTGATAAGCTACTGAAGTCCCGCGCCCTGAAAAATGTCTCTGGGTTGCTCTTGCAGGATGTGTGCCTCATCTAAGCAGGGAAAGGCTATGCGGCCATGCATACGTTCACAAACTGCTTCCCAAGCAGTTCTTGCGACATCCCAGCAAAATGTCATGTTGCATCAAATGTGTCCTCCTTGAGACCTCCCCCCGCCTCTCCAAAGCATCTTAGAAGGGAATATGTTCTAGAAGTAGCTATGTGAAGACTGCGCAGAGCATCCTGAGCTCTGGTCTTTGCACCGCGTCTCGACTCATCACCCCAAGCCTACATCTGATCCAATTACAGCTGCCACAGCACTTGCCAGAGAATTGCAGGACTGATTGGCCACCTCCCAGACATTCCCTCTGAAGATGGCAATGTCTGCATATGGTTCGTCCTGCCAGGTCGAACGGTCGAACCGCACATCTCGTAGCAGGCGGGAAAATCTTGGCAGTTCTCCTGCTGCAAGGAGACGGCGCAGTTCATGTGAAGAGCTAGAAGATCCACAAAGCGGCATGCCGCGTCCTGTAACAGAGCGTTTCTCGTTTCTCTCCATTCGTTTACATCAATCGATTGTGCTCGACACGATGCCGTAAGCGCCTCTGCACTGCAGTGGTCCAGGTCACACATATCCAGAAAAGAGAGGGAGGCATCCTCGAGCAGATTGGAGCAGCAAGAAGCATGCAGTGAAAATCATACAGTCGAAGCACCTCTGGAAGCGAAGCGCGAAGTTCTCGCCCCTGAAGGCTGGAAGCATGTTCAAGGATTCAAGGATTGCACTGACAGTGCAGCGGACGAGCCTGCTTGGAAGAGACCTTGTCCAGGTCTATCTCGGCATCCTCTTCAGCCTTGACCTCTGTCACCTTCGTATGTGCGGGAAAGGAGTAATAACATGCCATCCCCTGAGGTTGAAGATGGGGCTTGTCAACGGGATAGACCAATGATGTAATTACATTGCTCTGGTATGCCTTGGCTATGGGTGGATGAGGAAGCCCCTCAACAGCAGGAACCGATTGGACCTGGCCTCTGTGACCTCTGGCGCTATCACCTTGATAGGTACGAGTTGACCACCTGGCATGTTGCTCAGCAGCTTTTTTTCGTCTGACTCTCGAACAGTCGAGTTCAAACCTGCCAGACTCTCCTGGGCGCTCGTGAGCCTGTCTTTTTGCCGGCGGCAAGCTTGCGGCATCCGCAGCCTGTTAGCTGAACAGCCCCGCTTGCAACAGCTCAATCAGGCTCAATCTGCGGGGTGAGGAAGGTCTGAAAAGACAGCACGAGACGGCATGATACGACATGCAGCCATAAAGCCACAACTAAACTGGAACCTCTTCGAAGCGCCCCACAACTTCGCATGTCCGGTTTGGCTGCCTCTTCGTCAGCAGGCTTCGCGACCGCTTCAGGGGTCTGCACCTGATTTGCTTTGTTCTGTTGCCCCTGGGATATGATCCCTGCATGCTGGAGACATGTCTGGCGTTTCTTGCTTCACCCGATTTACGATGTGACTTGCAACTTTGTACGTGCCGCTTGGCATTCCAGACACTCGTGCCACATGCGCGCTGCACAAGCAAGGGATGATGACTCATGGCCAACGTGTCCGGCCTTATCACCGATAGCATTCGGCATCTCCTGAACTCTGTAAGACACATCGTCCACTTGTCTTTAGGGCTCAGGGGAAGTTAAGCTCTGTCGTGCGTCTGGTCCTCGTCCTGAAGTGGTCTGGGCAACTCACTCGTCGGCTCAGGCTCACATGCCGCCTGATGAGTTGTTGGATGAAAGACTCTACGGCTATGCTTTTTGATTTTTGACAGTACTACTTGACGATTGGAGTCGGCCGCACACAGCCTCGGGAAGAGGAGCTTCAACCGATTCTCTTGCAGCAGCTGCAACCTGCACTTCTTACACGACTACTGGAAACTTGTGTGCGCTGGCCCGCAAGCCTGAGGACTGCCAGTTGTCACATCCTCGGCAGGTAATTCCGACAGCTCGGGCGGCACCTTACACATGCTTCTAATTGTAGTGCTTTCCGTCCTAAGTCCACCAACAGCTGAATCCATGCATATCCATGAGCTTAGGTCCGCACGTCCTCGCGAGAAATTGCGGGCCCCACCTTCTGTGCTTGCATATTCGCAGCCGCTGCATATTGGGCAAGCCGCAATGGCACAACTGCCTCCTCCACTTGAAGCTCAGCCAACTGCTCCTGAAAACCGGACTCTGTAAACAGCGCCGTAACCCGTAACATTCCTTCGCATTCACCCAGTCAAGCTACAAACCAAAGCGTAAAGAATCGTGTCAAGCTAAAGGGTGATGGAGTGCCAGTTGTGGGTCTCAACATTGGTGCCATTTGGTGCCTGTTTGAGGATATTAGCTGCACTGGAGCTTGTGCGCCTCCCCTCCAGGCAAAGGAGCAGGGCTTGGCAGCGGCGCCTCATAGAGAGTCTGACACCAGGCCCACGAGTCCGCTTCCTTAAGGTTTTCACAAGCTGCGAAGCTGCACTCGCCTGTCTTGGCTCTTCGGACTCCTCAGCCAATCATGCCACAACATGCCACAGCATTTGCAAAGAACCCCGTCCCCCGCAACACTGGCAGCGTTGCTGGTTGAAAAGTTGGGTTCGCAGCCGTGCTGCTTTCCACGGCCTGAAGCAAAACGTCGGTGAGCTCTCTGATTAGGCCCGGGGCGAAGGGCGCCACATCCAAGAGCCACATCAATAAACATCAATTTCACTGGAGGTGATCGATGATGTCAACAGCTGTGCCATCTATCCCTGCATGCCCACTTTGAGACACCCAGCCTGTAGTGGCACTGGGATTTCTGGCATGGGGACTTCTGGCACCGAGACTTCTGGCAACTCCTGGCGGCAAATATAACTTAAGCTTCTCGGCCTTGTAACCATAAGCTGGCCTGGTCTGGGAGCTGCAGGTTCAACTCCATCTGCCTGCAGACTGCCAGGCTCGGTTGCCATCTGCCACCCGGACTTAGGCAAGGCCCGGGCCGACCCAGCGGTGCTGGTTTCGGTGGTGAAGGCAAATTTGCATCCTTCAGATATCTTGTTCTTTGAAGACAGCTGGGGCATGGGAAGCCGGAAACATCGAAGGACACAAGCACCCAAAGACTGTGCTCAAGGTAGCAAATCTTCATGGGAGGCCTCTGCTTTTGCACGCCGCTGCCTGACCAGCACATCCAGATTATAGCAGACTCACGGCACTCTGCATCCCAAGGCCATTGAACATGGAGGAAAGGAGTGAAGTCTCTGGCTATCTACTCAGAAGCCGCCAGCGTTGGACGGTAGCCTTGCTCCGATCTCAGCTGCTCGTCGTAGCCTGGGAATGCACATTCTCATTCCTCCCTTCTTACACCCTTAGTCGTGTCTTGTAGCTGGTCACCTGCCTCAGAAGTCTCTTTGAGGCTGCAACGGCGCACACAGTAGAGGGCACAAGTCGCCGAAGATCGTAGTCAGGCCAACGGTAGGGCTCCTGCTGACACTCGCATTTGTCGCACCGCACACTTCATCTCCCCAAACAGGGCCCTTTGAAGTTCCGCACCTGTGGGGTAGCAGCAGCCCATACTCAAGAGGATTCGCTAGGGTGATCTTCCTTTTGTCCTCGTACCTACACGTACAACACATGAAACCACTCAACATGAAGCAGCAGCGTACGCGGAAGAGTCAGCATCTTTGAAGGCGCACTTCTTCTCCGGTATTTGTGTTGCTTTTTCATCTAGCCAGATCCTTTTTCGCCTTCTTTTCTGCTTCGGCTCCTCCACCTCCGCCACTGCCTGCGAGATGATTATGTTGTAAGGCACCTCAGAGCAGAGCAATCACAGCCTCCTCGACGACCCTGGGCATCAAGTCCAAGCATGCCTCCTCAGCCTGCAAGAGTTTGCCATGTCACATCGCAGAAGAAATCCGGAAGCAAAGCCTCTGCCAGAGGAGGGAAGAGCGGCTGCATGGTGGCATCCTGCCCCCAAGTTGACCACACGCAGTGATTTGCATTGCAGATCAGCTTGCAAGGCTTTACAGATCTTTACAGCCTCTACTTCTGCGTCTCTAAGGAGGAACTCGACGGGCATCGGGCCAAGCTCCTGGCAAGGAGAGGACCTTTTCCCCTCACTGACGTCTCGACGCCTCTCGCTTGTGAGTAGCAGTCCTGGAGGCAGCGGGCTGCTGCTTCCGCTTCCCGTGCAGCTTCCTCGGCCTCAGTCTGTCAAATGCCTTGGCACTCCAAGTGATTCTTTCCATATCGATCAAAATCAGCCATCGCACTCCAAAACGTAGGACAGACATGGACAGACATGGCTACTGATCAAAACCACGTGCCCCGAGTGCACGTTCCTATGCCGTCTGATCCTGAGGGTCTGGATCGCATGCTTGATCCGGAGGGTGCGGAACGATGACTGACGCTTGCTGGT